CACTCTTTCTCTCTCTTTTGCTCTCTTTCTCTCTCTTTCTCTCTCTTTCTCTCTCATTCTCTCTCGTTCTCTGATTATCTACCTATCTACCTACCGATCTATCTTTCTATCTATCTATCGATCTATCTCTCTCTCTCTCTCATCTGTCTATCTAACTATGCATCTATCTGTCTATCTGTGTATCTATCTATCTATCTATCTATCTATCTATCTATCCATCCATCCATCCATCCATCTATCCATCTATCCATCTATCCATCTATCCATCTATCCATCTATCCATCTATCCATCTATCCATCTATCCATCTATCAATCTATCAATCTATCAATCTATCATTTTATTCAGTATGCATCTATCCATCTATCCATCTATCCATCTATCCATCTATCCATCTATCCATCTAGCCATCTATCCATCTATCCATCTTTCCATCTAATCTATCCATCTATCGTCTGTCTATCTATCTATCTATCTATCTATCTACAAGCTTGAAAACCTTGCTATTCTATGAGACTTCAACGTGAGGGTTTTGCTCACTTTTGACAAGGTGCACAATCCCTTGCGCCTGGCACGCGAAAGCACATCTGAACGTCCAAAAGTGCTCCGTACCCGTCAGTTCTTTGCACTTTTGACTTCAAAATGTGCTTCGCGCCGCAACGGCGTGCAATTTTTTATCTCTCATCTGGCCAGATGGCGCCGCACCCGCCGCTACTTTAGCGAGCCTACTTTTCGACCGTCCGGAGCCACAAATCATTGGAAAAACACAGTGTTTCGCGACTTTTCTACCTTTTCGCGCATCTGCATCTTCTTTCTTCTGACTCTTTCTCTTCTCTGATCTGCTCTCTTCTACTCTTCTCTTCTCTCTGCCTCTGCCCATCTCTGCTTTTCATCTGTCCATATTGTCGGAAGTTTGACTTCTAAACTTCCGTCGATTAGTTTACATTACATTACATTACCTTACAGGAGATTACATTGCATTACATGACATTACATGCATTCCATGCATACCATACCACAGTATATATGGGCAACCACAGTATATGCTTATTTTTGTACATGTCCATGTATATTTGTATTTATGCAAATATGTGTACACGTATATTTGTAAATATGCAAATTATATGTGTATATGTATATTTGTAAATATGCATATTATATGTGTATATGTATTTATAGTTGTATATATGGATATATGTGTACATGTATATTTGTAAAGATGCATATATGTGTACATGTATATTTGTAAATATGCATATTATATGTGTATATGTATATTTGTAAATATGCATATTATATGTGTATATGTATAGTTGTATATATGGATATATGTGTACAGGCATATTTGTAAAGATGCATATATGTGTACATGTAAATTGTATATATGCATATATGTGTAAATGTATATATGGATATATGGATTTTTGCAAATGCATGATCTTTTTGTTTTTATGTATATGCACATATGCATATATGGATAGAGGTATATATGCAAATATGTGTAGATGTATATTTGTACTTATGATTACTTATGGATATATGGATATATGCATATGTATATATATATACAGGTATATATATATATATATGTGTGTTGAGTTGCCCGTGTTTGGCTTAAGACAGGGGGGTCGAGAGGGGGGGTGGTGCACGGCAAGGTGCTCAAATTTCAGAAATAAGAGCGCGGGAAGTGTGTTTTTTGAAGAAAACCAGTCGGGATCCAGTCGGGATCCAGTCGGGATCCAGTCGGGATCCAGTCGGGCAAAAATTTTGGAGTTTTTGGCACCATGTTTGGACCTTAAAATCACCAAAAAAAAAAAGTGCTATCTTTAATCCCGCACCTACTGCCCAAACCCACCCTTGCCCCTATTTTCCTTTTCCGCTCACCAGCCGTGCACCAATACCCCCCCCTCCTGCACCAAAAGTGCAGGATGCATATGTTTATATATATATATGTGGATGAGTCAATCAGGGGGGTCGACGTGGGGGGGTGACAATATGTAGGTTATGTAGGTTATGTAGGTTATGTATGTTATGTATGTTATGTATGTTATGAACGTTATGTATGTTATGGATGTTATGTATGTTATGTATGTATGTATGCATGCATGCATGCATACATGCATTCATGCATGCAAGCATGTATGCTATGTATGTTATGTATGTTTTGTATGCTATGTATGTAATGTATGTAATGTATGTATGTCTGTCTGTATGTCTGTATGCCTGTATGTCTGTATGTCTGTATGTCTGTATGTCTGTATGTCTGTGTGTGTGTATGTATGTATGCATGCATGCATGCATGCATGTGTGTATGTATGTGTGTATGTGTGTATGTGTGTATGTATGTATGTATGTATGTATGTATGTGTGTATGTGTGTATGTGTGTATGTGTATGTATGTATGTATGTATGTACGTATGTATGTATGCATGTCTGTATGTCTGTATGTCTGTATGTATGTCTGTATGTCTGTATGTATGTATGTATTTATGTATGCATGT